AGAGCAGTGTTGAAAAAGGGCGTACCTGGCAGCTGAGTGTTAAGAGAGAGAGAGGCACGAGAGGAGAGAGAGGAGAGAAGAGTTGGTGAGAGCACGCTTCGCTGCGCAATTTAAGTGACTCGAAAAAGGTTCAAAACTATTAAAAGTTTTGCTGTGAATACCCTGTAATCAGAATGCAGCTAAAGGCATGTTAATTATATGTGAATGAGCGCTGGCAATAGTCAAGAAACGAATTAGCTCTAGGCTATAAATTGAAAGTTCAAGAGAGAAGAAGAGAGAGAGTTATATGTAAGTTCTTATACAATATATATAATATTTCTTAAGTATCATATATTTATATGTCTTATATGTACATATTTATATAGTACATTAATTTCATTCATACATGCGAAATTCTTGTCACAAATTTATTCAGTAAGATTTTGCAATTCTTTACAGGGTATCTAGCAGCTGTATTGACCATAGTCAATCATGATAAGTGCACTCAATTGTGGCATGATTCCCATTTTTTCTTCCATTTGAAGATCGCTGTAGGAACTTCCACCTGTGACTGTGACGCGGGGTGTGATCTTTATCGAGGCACAGCTGGCACTTCAAGTTCATTTTAGGTTCAGTTCGGTTCTTGTTGGGGTTCTCTCGCTGTCATTGTTGCCCCTGAGGATTTCCATTTGAGTGCCTCGCTAGGCTACAGTAGCCGGCATTTCGGCTTGGAAAAGCGATTTAATATTTTTCCCAAAGACAGACGGCATTGTGTTTTCTTATCAATTAAAGCGTGACCTTTGTTGTGGTTTATCTGAAGCGAATTAGTTCGGCCAGCCAGGTCGGCTGCTTTATGGTCTAATTAGTTGAAGAGAAACCTCCGTTCATTTCGGTTCATTATGACTTCACACACACAAAAAAAAAACCAACAAAATAATAGTAGATAAAGAGAAAGAAAGAAAAATCAAAACTCATTCGTTTCGTTGATGACATCAAGCAAATGTTTCCATCACCTTTCTGGCTATCAGCACAAGTATCAAATAAATCGAGCACTATCAATATGAATTGTAGCACCTTTTACTACGACAAGGCCGATCAGGTAATCAAAGCGAGCCATTGTGTTGGACATAAATAGGCATGAGGTCTGGTTAGTTTTCTAATGTATCATTTCCTAAAAACAAACTTCTACAATCAGACTCTATAAATATTGTTTTCATTCATTCGCATTTTGCACTTGATCTGTAATAATATTTACTATAATTACACCTGTCAAAAGCAACTAAGAAGCAGGTGTCTCCCAAGCGAAATTTTCATTAACTCAACGAATGGCGAAAACGTTATGTAAGAACTTTAAAAAAAATACAAGCAGAATTCCTTAGTTTTAACTAACTTGTTGCTTACTTTGTGAATTTCTAATAAACATTTTATATTCTTTCTAATTTTGCTTTTAATTGAGAATTATATGAACGTTTCGATAAGGCGTAATACAAATCGCTACATATAAAAAAGTTCCAATTTAACACGTTTAGCTGTTTTTTGTTTACTTTTTGTATAGAGCCCTTTGTTAAAGCGCAGCAACTGTTATACTGTTATACTGCCCTTTCATTCTTTCAACTGTTCGCGAACCATTTACGGCGCTTGTTCAGATATGCGGAAATACATATATAAGTCCGGATCGTATTATAAAAAACCAAGTGTCGGTTATAGTGTTATTTTTTTACTGTTATACTGTTATACTGTTATACTGTTATACTGTTATACTGTTATACTGTTATACTGTTGTATTGTTATACTGTTATACTGTTATACTGTTATACTGTTATACTGTTATACTGTTATACTGTTATACTGTTATACTGTTATACTGTTATACTGTTATACTGTTATACAGTTATACTGTTATACTGTTATACTGTTTTACTGTTTTACTGTTATACTGTTATACTGTTATACTGGTAAGCTGTTATACTGTCTTACTGCTATACTGTTTAGTATTAAGCTGCTATACTGTTATACTGATACTTTTTTTTAAATTTTATATTGCTATACTTTTATATTGTTAAGCATTATTACTAAGTTTCTACCAATTACTCTTTATACTATATTACACGTTTGTCTGATAACACGAAGATACGAAGAGCCAAATTTTTTGCGCACATTCGCAAATTATTAAAGCTTAGCTCTGGGCAAAGTTTTCACATACTTGCCCATTAACTGAATGATCGTTTTCACTTTGATGTAATACCGATACGATCGGATCCGTTACGCTGCGTTACGGTCCTGATGTCGCAAAACTCTTTAAAAATGCCAAACACAAAATGCCCCAAAATAAAAATATAAAACCAAAACGAACGAAATAAAGTCAAAAAGTTGGTCTTATAAAACAATTTCAATTGGTTCGCGTTTTGGGGCATTGGTATTTCCACTCTTATCTCAACCTCTCTGCTCTGTGCATTGAGCTCCGCTTCGGCCCTTTTTGCCGAATTCTTCGCTTTTGTTTTTTATTAATGTGAAGCGCGCAATTTTCGTTGACATTTGCAAATTCTTGTCACAAACGCGAAAAATTACAAACGGACAAACATATATATATATATACATATATATCTATATATATGTATCTATATATAAAAAAAAAAAAACAAAAACAAAAAAGGCGAATCATAAAAAATGTTTAGCTTTCGAGCGAATTTCAACTATTTTGTCGCTGCGGCCTCTTTTTCGAAATTCGTATAATTTTGATACACTGCATATCGAGTATATTGAGTATATTGATTAGGTGCAACTTATAATAAAATATAAACTTTATCTTGACTAGAATTATTTTCAAATTTCTTAAAGTTTCTCAAAATTAAAGAAAGACTCACAGTGTGTTAAATGATTGCGATATCAGTATAAATTATAATTATTTTGTAACTCACTGCTTTACGCTGTATGAGTTACAGTTTTCATAGAATGCCATTTCATATATCTAAGTTCTTCATCTTAAAGCTCCTCTATCTTTCATCTTCTATCTCTTTCATTACTCAACAAACAGAGCATCAAGCAGCCTATGACAATATTTGTTTCATACTCATTTTTTTTTACTGCTGGAGTTGCACATATAAAATCGCATGGCACATCGCACATTGGTTCCCCCTTCCAGCGCCCGCCCCTCACCTCTTGACCACGCCCACTTGTGAACAATTTGTGCACATTTGAATGCAAATATTTGAATGAAAGCAAACGCAAGTCGAGCGACTGTCAACTGGGCGGCTGGCTAAGTTAAGTAGGTAAATGTTTATGGTGCGTTTTACTGTATTGTTGCGACTGCATTTGACGACAGCAAAAATCAAAGCAACAACAACAGCGAAAAGAGAACTTGTGGCCAATCGAGGGGCAGGGGCACGGGCAGGGTCTGTCTTAACACCGCAATATATGTATGTATGTTAATTCCCTTTCGAAAGTAGTTCAGCGTTTTGGCATTTTGGCCAGCAAATATTTGCCAATGGCATACAAATGCGAACTCTTTGTCTCTGAAGAACACGCGAGTTGTTGTGTCTATGAAAATGTGTCACAAATGATGTCGACCAGAGTTGCCCCCACAATCCATGACGAGGCAACTTTAACGCCACAAAAAGTGTGAAAGGTTGCCGTCTGTGACTGTGCAAAGCGAGAGAGAATCACAAAGTGGGCTAAAGATTAAGGAAATGCCAGAGAGGAAGTCAGTGGAACAACAATGAAAAGACAACAAATTATAATGCAACAACCATACGTATATGAAAATAAAAGGAACGCTCCACTTGTCTCAATTTAACATCATTAAAGGAATACGAACAATATGTAGCTGAGATGAAATAGCTTTCACTTAAAGTTCAGGCAGAGTATAGAAATGTGATTGAAGCCAAACTAGAGAAGAATATAGAAATGTTTCGAATGCCATTTTGTGGAGCTTATATTCATTATTAAAGTAAGCTTTCTAATATAATTTTTGTTATAAAATCAAATATTATCAAAGTGAAAATTAGAAATAACATTTAAAACACATTAGGGTCTTTAAGTGAGGTTCTTAGCTATAAGAAGCTTTTCTTATATTTTTGAGAACCATACTTTAGATTAGTGATCTTTCAAAAACGATAGATTCCTCTGCAAAAGGCATATATTTAATTATTATATAGTTTTTAAGACAGAAAAATTCTTTAAAGCAATGATTTAATATATACAATTTGTATATTTTAAGAATATATTTATAAAAAAAATGAAAATTTATTAAGTTTTAATATAAAATATATCAATATGTTTTAGACTACTTTTAGGACCACTTTTTTAGTCTTTATAAAAATTGAATTGAAATTATTTTAAGCAATGAAATTAATTCCTTCCATGCCTCATAAATCTACTTTTAAAACATGAGTGCGGATATGTTTGTAACTATATATACTTTTTTTTTTAAGAATTTAAAAACTATATTTCACACATAAGCTTAGCTTAGCTTTCGAAGAGGATCACAATTATATAGCCAATTTATCTACATCTTATACATATTATGTAGGGTAAAACTTGTATTTGAATTATATTTTCTTAAAGAATTTAAAATAATTCAAATTTTGCACATAAGGAATAAGGCTTTTAAAATATTATCAAATTAAATAAATACATCTATTTATTTATTAACAATATTCTTTAAAATAACGATTGTATCCTAATCTTGAACTATTTTTATGCTATTATTTTTTTATTTTGTGTATCTTTATTGTAAATTTAATTTTTTAAAACGATTTAACCTAAACGCTTTTTAAGCAATTTGGCTTGTAATAAATCTTTCTCTATTTAAGATCTTCAATTATTATTATTATTAAGTATATATTTCTTTTGGTTCACTTTCATTTGATACCCTTTCTTTTGTGCTGGCTTTACGTACCTTTCTAAAAGCTCTTGTTTGGCGTTCGAGGCTTTCGTTTTTGCATAAATTTCGCACACATTATTTATTTATTTATTTTATTTTATTTGTGTCGCTTTTGTGCGAAAATATTTAAACAGTTTGCGTTTTGTTTGCACTTTAAGGGTTTTTTTTAATATTGCAGTATTATTATGATTATTTTTCTTTGTTACCGAATAAACTGTGTTAACACTTAACGGTTATTAAGATTAACATAATTATGGTATTAGCCATTTGTGTGTTTTCGTGGAGAGAGGGAGAGATTTCACTTTCTTCAAAGGCAATCATCAAGAGTTAATTTCAAGTGTTTTAAACAATTTGCATCAACAATAAATGAATGCAATTAATTGTTACGCTCGAATGCACAGCAAAGCTAAACGGAAATGGATATGAATATGGATATGAACTCGAAATGCCGAAAAACGAAGATACAACAACAAGCAATAAGCAGTGAGCAACAAAGTAATGTTGTTAAATTTGCAATTAGCTTTAAACTCGATTTCGATATTTGCGTTGCATTACATTTAATTAGACGGCCAGCGGTGATGAAACGTGAATGAACGTGAATGAACTTGGCGGAGAGTGCAGAGCGGCAATAACAAAGCGCAAAAGCTAAAGCAAAAAAAACACAAGTCGAAACACTAACAACAAAGCACAGTTACAGTTACTCAGCTTATAAACATGCAAAAAGAACAAACTTCACGGTCAGCCTGCAAGTGAACGAGCAATCGAATGAGCTGCACGCACACACAGAAATACACATATACGATCGCACTTTACGGTGTGGGAGAGCGTGAGAGTCAAAGTCAAGTTTACACCTACGTGATATGCCGCCTATTGAGTGTGCCCGCTTAACGTTGTGCACGCGACGAGCGCCAAAAGTAAACTGACTGCGCCGGCCGATACGATACGTCTGCGCAGCCGACTCGCCGACTTCGCACGCAACTTGTTTGACAACCAGCTGAGCGCAGACGAATCGGCTGAGCAGAGAGAGCGACAGAGAGAGAGAGCGATCGGAGCAGCGCGGCGCTTGCAATTCTTTCTTGTGTGTGTTTGTGTATGTCTGTGGTCTTGGCGTCTCGTCGCGTGGTCTGTTTGATCATTATCTGCAAGCTACGCTCAACTTCATTATGAGTAGCAGCAGCAGCAGCATGTGCGCTCTCCGACTCCAGCTTAAACTTCCCATACGTGTGTTAAAGTGTGTGCGAATGTGTGCGTGTGATCGCATTACAACGAGCTGATGACAAATTTGTGATAAGCATTGGAAAATCTCTTACTGGGCATTAAATTAATTTGCCCAATGAAAATGCCGCACGCCGATTGATATCGAATTGAACTTTGTACCCGCTTGCAGTGTGCCTTAATTGGCCTCCAGGCGGCGCTTCAAAGTGTTATTTATGAGAATTTTTAGTACTTCTCGCTGAGGGCGGGGGCAAATATTCTTTATTTGTTCCACAATATTTACATATATTCGATTTCCCTTTGCTCATAGCTAAATGAATTTACGACTGTGTTATATATACTATATATTATAATATCGCATTGGGCGCTGGGCCTGATGTAACACATGGTTCAATTACTTTGTTTGCTATTTCCTTGGAATTTCATGGCAATTATCGTAAATAATACTAGATGAGTGTTGACATTTGAGACAAAAGGAAGCTAGGAATTTCTTTGAATACAATAGCCAATTCCAACTGCGAATTAGGTCTAAAAGCAAATCGAAATTAGTGCGGTTTTCACCATTAAAACCAAGATATTGCTTAATTTGGAGTGCCAAAAAACGAAATAAGAAGATAAAGAGTAATGCGATGTGTGCTCTGGGCAGCTGCGGAAAGGGTATACGAGCGAGCTACAATGCTTTCGGCCACGCTCTACGCTTTGGGCTTAGTAATTTTTAATTTGGTGATTAATCGATAAGCGACAGCCTCATCGACTCGACACCAGGCCAATGTACGAGCCATACAAAGAAACTATATATATATGTGTATGTGTGTGTGTGTGTGTAAGCGAAATGAAACGCATGCGATTAGAATTTGTAATAAGCTCGCGAGTCTGCCATCTCTGGAGAGCTCAAAGCTTAAAAGCGAGCTGATAGAGATCTCTCTCCCTCTCTCTTTGTAGGCTTCCCAGCTGGAAATTTGTATCTTTGGGAATTGGGAAATTTTCCACCCGCAACAAAAAATTTGTTATTTGATTTTTTTTCTATCCGAAATTGAAAGTGCATTAGGATGAGTACACAAAATTTGTTAAGTTTTTACTCTGTTAGCTTTCACTTTGGTTGGCTTTTTGTCTAGAATGTTGAAGATATTTGAATAGCAATGAAGCGTGTTGCATAATCTCCCAAGAGTCTTCGAGAGATTCACGACCTTTGGCCAATTATCAGGCAACTTTCTTTGCTTCTACTTTTGTCTACAACTTTCACACAGAACCCAGAAAACAGAAGAAGAAAAAACACTTTCCCAAAAACATATTTTCATGCTCTCGTCTTCCTCTACTTCTTGTGCTTCTTCTTCGCATTGCCGTTTATCAAAAGCTGGGGGCGACTTCTCGCTGAGTTATGTTTTTCATTTGATTTTCTGATTGACAGATCTGCCCCTCGCACAGCAACCGTAATGGATACCAAATGTGAGTTTTGGCTTAGTTTCGGTTCGGCTCCAATCGCCTCTCGCTCTAATCAACATATGTAAATAAATTTATGCAAAGCAAATGCAAAGCAGCTGCCTATTAAAATGTGTCAGCGCGCTTAGTGCGAAAAGTATTTTCTCTCTGTAGACCTTGTTCCACTTGAGGCGCACATCAATCCCATTCCCATTTCATTCCCATTCCATTCCATACCATTCCAATCAGCAGTTATCTTGACATGTTGTGCGTCACTTGGCAAAACAAATCAATCAAAGGCAGCTGCAGGAGCTCTGCAAAATTGCATAGCAAAACATATGCCAATATCAAGAGGTCGCACATATATATATATATATATATATATATGGTGTCTATGTGTGTATCTGTAGAACATGCCCCACACGTTGTTTCAATTGCGGCAGAAGCTGCGGCGCCAAATGCAAATTGCGTTCATGTTTTTTGCTTTACGGCTTGCGGCAAAACTTTAAAGGCGAATTATTTGACATGTGACACTATGCGCGAAATTCTAGCCTAGGGGTATGTAAGACTAGCAATAGGTCCATTTGCATATACCAGATACTCTAACTTGTCTGCAATTTTTTAGCGAATTTTTGAACTTCTTTGATTTCTCTTTGTTTTTTATATTCTTATTTTGTTATTCTTGTGCCATGTTTTTTTGCATATTCAATTTATTTTAAGCTTCTTTAGATTGTCATTAACTTTTTTTGTCATTAACATTAGAGTCTTTTTCTTGTTGAGTATAACGAAATCATATAAGTCTATCTCTATCTCTGTACAGCTCTGTCTCTTTCGCTTGATCTTTCTCTCTCTCTATCTATCCATCTATCCATCTATCTATCTATCTATCTATCTGTCTATATATCTATCTCTCTCTCTATCTCTCCTCCTATCTCTCTATTCCTAATTTCAGGACATCATATTCTTGATACACTTCTTCTGTTTCTCTTAACTTTTTAGCACAATTTCCTTTGCTCTTTCATTACATATCCTTAACTGAGTTCATTGAAGGTCTATTATATACTACCTTTGAGCAGAAAATCATGTGTCACCCTTGACATATTAAGCTATAAATAATCTCTAAATTGACTATAAATACTATGACAAAAAAACCTGCAAAAGAGCATAAAAACTTCGTTGCGATTTATTGCCGAACTTGTGGCAGTCAATCAAAGCGCATCGATTGAAAGTGTTCAATTGTGTTTTCCATTTCCTTTTCTTTTTCTTTTGCTTCTTCTCTTTTTAGGTTTTATTTACTGTCTTGATTTTCCTGGCTTGGGCAAATGACAAAGTTCAGCTCGACTGAGCGAAAAAAACTTATGATGCCACGAAAATGGTTCACAATGCTCACATTAAGTTCACAATGGAGCATGTTGCACTTGACAGTCGCATTTGTTAGGCATTGAAACAAATTTATTGTTTTTCAATTTACATAAAAAAAGGCCAAAAAGCGGCCGTAAAAGGCTAAAACTAGCCAAGCGGTCAGGCCAGCGTCGCAGCGGCTCATTAAAGACTTTTTCGCTGGGCAAATTATGAGCAGATTGCATAAATTTATTCACTGCTTTTCTTTACAAATTTATATAATTATTTAACAAATATTAGTTTTTTTTTTGGTAAAAAGTCTCAGTTCAGCTATACAAAGAAAAGAATTTTCAAAAGTTATTAAGAATAAATCTGATCTAACTTAATGAAAACATAAACATAAATAAAGCCTATAAAAAAATATTATTTTTAAAGTTTGCTATAAAAAACTGAAGTTACATAAATATAAAACTTAATGCGAATCACACGCAGAGTCTACATAAAATAAACATAAAAATAAATAACAAAAAACGCACAAATAATAATAAATAAATGCAAAAAAAAGACAACAAAACAAAAAAACAAAGTTAAGGATTCATAAATTTCAATCAGTGGGCCAACTAAAAAACATTAAAAATATATCTATATATCTATACAACTATATATATATATAGCTGCTATAAAGTGCATAAAAATTCAATTTCGCGTTGCCAAAGGGAACTTCGCATTGCATTCAACTATTGTCGAGTACAAATAATGCACAATAAACATAAATTAGCAATCGATAGTTTTGTTGTTGTTGTTTTTTGTGGATTTTTAAATGAATTAAATTGGGCTTGTTATGCGGCCAAATGACCTTTGCTAACAAAGCAAAACGCTAGAGGAGCTGCTGTCCAATTGGAGCGAACGAGACTTCCAATTGGAGTCCGTTTACATTATAAATTGGCAATTCGACATTCGTTTGACAATCGCCGAATTGGCCAAGTTCACATGGTGTCGATATCGAATTCGAATTCGATGTCGATGCCGACGTCGACGTCGATTCCTAATTCATGTATTAGAAAGTACACAGAGTTTTGAATTTGGGGCGTGGCAGCGAGTGACGATGGCGAAGACACACCTTATAGAGCGGAGCTGCCTCATAATGAGATTTCTAGCCATATCTAAAATATAGAAAAAATAGCTGAAGCACAAAAACAATTGCCCGTGTGCCAAAGGGGCGTGAAAAACTGCAGGGCTTGCAGTTTTTTTTTTGGGCTGGGTCTGTGGCTTGGGCTCTGATTCTGTTTCTGCTTCTGCTTCGTTGCTCGACTGCTTTGTGGGTGGGTTGCACTGCAATTCCCCTTCGCAGCCAACAAGTGCCGAAATTGTTGCAGTCGCCTTAGCCTTTTAATTAGCCGATGTTTTGGCTTTGTTGCTGTTGGTCGTGCGAACTTTTTTCTTTAATTAGCTTTGGTTGTTCTTTGTTTTCGTTCTGATCGAAATGAATTTTGACATTTGCAACAGACAACTAAATTGTATAATTGTTTATATATAAATATCTGATTTATTGGCATGTTGACGCAACCCGTTGACGTTGCAATTAAAAATAAACAATAATTAACGCTTGATAATGATATGAATTCAACCAAATGGCTTGAACTTTGATATACTCTTTAATTTGCGCTATAAATTTGAAATGAAACTTTAAATCATCAAAGCAAGAATTCATAATTTTGTATTATAAGCAAGAAGGTCAGCACTCTGTTCAAATCATAGGCCTACAAATCGTTCACTTGTCTAGCAATGGTATCTGCAGTCAAGAGGCTTGCAAATTTAAGCTCAAGACTAGAGAATCAAGAGAATGAAGAAGTTGCTTAGAGTACTAGACACTAGATAATTGATTATTAAACTTTATGAAGGGAGCTTCGAGCTCAATGCAGCAAGAAAAGGGAAAGGAAAATTAGAAAA